GGAGGGAAGGGGGGGGGGGGGAAGCAGAAGAGTTTTTCCACATGTCATCAAAATAAAGCTCCCTCTTTCTAGGGTGGTGCCCTATATTATCTTGCAATAAAACAATTCTCCTTCTCCTTCTGTCTTCCAGCAGGCCCAGCTCAGGAAACAAGAACCATACTTCGTCTGCTGCTTTTTAAGAGCACCCAGAAAATTAACCAAAGCCATCTCAAAATCCTGATGGGAGCAAATTTAGGATTTTGCTTCTACCAGGATCCTATCTGGAACAAATTCTAGCAAGTATTCTTCCACAGGGAAAAAAAATCCAGAGTGGGGAACAAATAGGAATTGCACTTATCTTAGAAAAGCTTTAATAGAAGCCCAAAATATACAATACGATAGATTTTTCTGTCATGCTTAAAAAACTTGGTTCTCATATAGTAGACTTGAGTTCCTTAAAGAGCATAGATTTATTTTCCCATGCTTCCCTAAATTGTCTGGACCAGAATGGAAATTTTCCAGATTGGAAATCTGTTGCTAAAAGCGGCCCATCAAACTGAGCAAATTAATCCTCATTTACCTATTTATCAATAGTTACCCTTGAAAGCTACCATATTTGGTGAGGGTCGTGAGAAGACTCAGAAATGACAAAGCTAACACCAGGTAATACTCACCATCAGCAGTTCTGGCTTGATCTCTGGGGAGGTGACACGACATGGCACATTGATCACCCCTGTAATATTCTGCACATAGATGAAATCTGGATAATTTGTGTGGGGCTGCACAAAAGGCTCTGACTGATCTGCAGGACACAAAAATGGAACATCACAACTGTGCAGAGAAGCAAGCTTGTTTGGCTGTTGATAGAAATGACCTGCTATTCATCCTTAATTTTTAGACCAACAATGCTGCAAAGTAGACTAGACTATCAGATCGTGATTCTGACTTAAAGCAACTGATGAAGCTGAGTTAATCCCTGTGTTTGAAACCTGCAGTTGATCCAAACACTTGGCAATGGCAACCTTAATCTAGACATCAGCGGCCAGTGTCTTCCTTAGAAGTCCCACCACCCCAGATTTTTTTTTTTTCTCATCAGAATGAGTCTATGAAGCAAGAAACACAGCATGCAGGTTGATCGTTTTAGATTCAGGACATTGTAGTTCTCTTTCTCTCCCCCTTCCTCCAATTTAAATAACAGCAGGTTGGCCCAGATGCAGACTTACTTAAATCTGTTGCAATCAATAAGAATTATGTTGCTGAAAAATTCTGCTGCACTTTCCCCCTACCAGTTCTCATTCAATTTTATGAAAGACAACTTATCTTTCAAACCTCCAAGAGAACTTTCAGGCACCCAAAGAATGAGACAGAGAAATAGAAGCTGGGGGCGGGGAGGGGACCCAACTCTGAGAAACTGCAAGGCCTACCTCCCACGGAGTTTAGTGGGCAAACCCTAAACAGGACAAGACCTGGATCTAACCCACTGTGCATTATTTTACCTATTCAACAAGGTCGGAGAAACGTGGTTTCTGGAAATCTCACCAACCTTTTTACTAAGAAGGGGCTGTAGGAGATTCCGCATTTTCGTCAGTGTGACACTGCCCTGTGGAACACTCTTCCCCCAAGGCTCTGGCAGCCCCCCACCCTTTAGCCTTCTGGAAGGCCATAGTTCTTCCTAGTCCTTCCCCGAAGTGCTAGGATAGGGCCAGATGGGAGCCTATGGATGATTCTGTTGGGTGCATCTAAGAAGGAGAGCATCTGAGGTGCCAGGTTTTTGTTTTTATTGTTTTTATTGTTTTCTGGTTTTTGTTGTTGTTGTGAGCTGTCCAGAGTTGTGTTCTTAAGATGGGCAGTCATAAAAATAAAATAAATAAAATAAAATAAAAATGTTTACATTTATTTCTGCTCTCCCATCATGTTGTATCTCTCTGTGTCTGTGTTGTCTGCCTATCTATCTATCTATCTATCTATCTATCTATCTATCTATCTATCATCCATCCATCCATCCATCCATCTATCTATCTATCTATCTAGCTATCTATCTATCTATCTATCTAGCTATCTATCTATCTATCTATCTAGCTATCTATCTATCTATCTATCTAGCTATCTATCTATCTATCTATCTAGCTATCTATCTATCTATCTATCTAGCTATCTATCTATCTATCTATCTAGCTATCTATCTATCTATCTATCTAGCTATCTATCTATCTATCTATCTAGCTATCTATCTATCTATCTATCTAGCTATCTATCTATCTATCTATCTAGCTATCTATCTATCTATCTATCTAGCTATCTATCTATCTATCTATCTATCTATCTATCTATCTATCTATCTATCTATCATCTCAAAGAGTTGTGCTGGCAGATGGACAGAGTCAGACCGCCTTTACAATTTTTTTTTTCAATGTTGTTGAGTTTGGAAAAAATAACAAGGTAGGGAAAAGCTGTGAAAAGAGCTCCCGAATCCTTTCCAACCTCTTAAAAGTAGTTGTGCTCTAGGTCTCATGACCAAGGAGGAGGATGGAAGAGGACCCCATTCTGCTCAGTTTTGAGAGAGTTATCTGCTGGCAGAGTCCTGAGCCCTTGACATTATTTCTTTCCAACATTCCATTGGGCAGGAAAGAATAAAACCAGGATAACTGAATGCTGCTGGATTTGTGAGTTTTCTTGCTCATTCTGCTACGCACAACCCTAGACTTCTTCCAGGAAATCCTGCCCTGAAGTGAGTCAGTGAAGATAATATTAAGACTAGCCTTAAATAAAACCCAAAGAAGAAAGAAACAGGGCTTCTCAGATGCAGAAATATCTCCCTTTCCAGTCTTCGAAGTCTGCCTTTTGAGCACGGCCCGACACTTGACCCTTGTTTCTAAGGGGAACTATGAATCCAAACAGCCTTTCCCCATCTGGTGCTTTCCAGATGTGTTGGACTACAGCTACCATTATCTCTAGGCAGTGTGAGTGATTGGAGTTGCATTTCAACATATCTGGAGGCCATCCGGTTGGGAAGACAGATCCTACCAAGGGATGGACAAGAAATTTGCATTTCGTAAACCTGTAGGTGTACAAGAAGCTAAGTAGCTCCTAAATTCCACATTTCCTAAAGTCTGAGAATCTAATTTGCAACCGAAAACCCATACACAAAATGCATATTTAAGGAAACAGTATTTTCAAGACTACATTGGGATAAAGTAAGCAAACACAAACTGTCTCTTTTGGGGAGAAAACATCTGAGAAAGCAGATTCACCCTTTCTCAACCCAGATACGACACTCTACCCTACCTTTCCCAACTACAAACATCGTCTGACAACACAGGGGTACTTATGCTAGGAGATTTATAAATGCAAACAGTTTACAACTGAGGTTGTTCGTGAAAGTTCCTTCCCTTGTTTACTTCTGATTTCTCTTGAAGAAGAGAATGGCACAATGGCCCTCTGTTTACAGGCATCTGGAGCTTTTTCCCAACTTCCAGGGGGAAAAAAATTAACAGTGGTGGAACCAGCAAATCAGCACAATAGGAAGACTGGTTTTTCACATCAGGGTTGTTATTGCAGTGAAGATACAATCATGTTTTCAGCATCCACTTTGCTGGACAGTTCCCCAATGCAGTTCTGCAGACAGCCTTGTCTGTTAGGGCCGAAACTAATTCCATCCCAGCTTCCCTGAACTTGGTGACTTCCAGATGTGGGCATCCAACTCCCATCAGCCCCAGCCAGCATAGCCAAGCCAAGAAATACCTGGTTTGGGGGTTTTTTTTGGTCTTTTTGGTCACCAGGAATTGCATTTCTCATGGGTGAGGAGTGAGAATTGCAGAGGGTGGGGCTGACAAGGACACCCCATTATTACCACCTGGATGACCTTTTTTCTGCTTTGCTTTAAAACTGGGTTTAGCCTATGAAATGGCTTACACTGTTTCCCTGTGTCTCCCTCCTTAAAATCATAAGCGCCAGAGATCTTTGACAATTGCACCCGTGAAATTCATGGCGCAGTCAAAGGGGCTTGTGGGGCTAAAAAAAGGTTGTTTGTGCCTTGATTGTACAGTTCTTCAGTCTGTCTTTCCCCCTAGCAAGAATATCCATTATTATGGGTTAGTAAGATGGGAACCTTTTTGCTGAATGTCACTTATTCTAGGCATTTGGTTTGCCATTCCTATATGGGACTCCCTGCGAATAGCATGCAGTGCTACTGTATTTGCTGTATTTGCTGTATTTTATACTTGACTTTATCCTTATATTTGATCCTTGATGGTGGAAGAGAGATAGCAAGCAAGCAAGGAAAGAAACAAATGGGGGGAAGTCTTTGAGGCTGGTCCAGCGTCATAACAATTCCAGTTCTAACCACTTGAGGGTGCAGTTAAGGTGACTTGACAACATCCAAGTATTTCCATTGATAATGTAACTCTACAAATGGTGAGCTATCTTTTACATTCAGGCTTGGGAAATTAAGGCTGGGGGGGGGGGGAGAAAACAGGAGATCAAAAGGCAACCTCCCATACCATTATTGAAAAAGGCAAAGCCACGATCCCCGCCTACTCCTTTTCCTTTAATTCATGGGGATATATAATCCATCCTTCAGGAAAGGAATGGAGAGGAGGAGGAGGAGGAGGAGGAGGA